AGCCATAAAAAGATGAAATATTGCCATTTGTCTCAACATGGATGGACATTGAGGGTATAAAGCTAAGTGAAATCAGATGGAAAAGAACAGAAACCATATGATTTCACTCAGATGTGGAATATAAAACAACAAAGAAACATGAACAAATAATGCAAAATAAAAACAATTCATAGATGCAGTCAACAAATTGGTTGTCACCAGAGGAGAAGGGGGATGGAGGGAGGGTGAAATGGGTAAAAAGGGTTAAATATATATGATAATGGATGGGAACTAGACTGTCAGCGGAGAGCACACTCCACTGAATACAGATGTTGAATTACAATGTTGTACACCTGAAACCTATATAAAGTTATTAAACAGTGTTACCGCAATGAAAACATAATAAGAAAATAAAGTATTCATGTGCTTCTTCTGGGAAGCTTTAGAGCAGGGATGTAAATCCTGGAACTGCCCAGAACCTCAAGCCATGCTCCACAGGTTATTTTTAGGTATTTTGGCTTCCATCACTGGGAATATTGTTTACAGAGAATTCTGTTGCTTTAATTTTTTTTTTAATTTACTCAAATATTAAAACACCAAGATGTAAAATGAATAAATAAATAAATAAAGGGCATATTAAGAAAAAGAATGAAAATTAGGTCATATGTAATACATAATACATGAAAACAAAATATACAATAAAATCCAGTTTTGTGTGGCCATGCATTTACCAACAACATCATTTGGAAATCATGTATCTATAACCTTATTTTAAAAACCTAACAGAAAATATGAACACACACCCATGCACACCCACACTCTTCCCTTCCTCTAAGACACAGGCCAGGCATACTGTCTGTCACAAAGCTGAGCACCTACGGATATGTCTGTGCTCCAGTACTTTTTTCCTGCATGCAACACACAGTCAGCTATGTCTGTGCATTCCAAGAGAGCCTCTTTACATTTCTGTCACCACTGTTTGTAAAAGCCTCCCTTCCTGAGATGAGAAAAGCTGTAGTTTTCTATCAGTCCACAGGAGGGACTTTGCTCATTTTCTAACTGTACACCAAAGAACAATATTAATTTTTCAATTCACGGTAGTTTTACAAAGCATGGTATGAAACAATTCTGCAGCCAAAAATAGTCTGGAGTAAAAAGAAGTAGGTAGAGAGGTATACTCTAAAGTGGTTTTGTTGGTGATCCCAAACCTACATTACATACATTCATTTAACAAATATTAATTAGGCCTCTATCATATGCCAGACATTGACAGCCCAAACTGACTTCTAATCTTAAATATATAATTCAGACATATTTCTCAATTTATTCTGAGACAAGTATCTCCACTTGGTCCACTTGGGATATACCCAAGCAGGAGTGACTAAGCTCTTGGTCACAAAACATCATCTCTGCTTTTCTCACTAATCTGTCCTTGTAACCTGAAAGCTTACCATTGAAGGAGAACCTGTGCAGTAGCTGGAGAGTCACTTAGGACAAAAAGGTATACCAAGAGGCAAGGACACAATTCCTGTTCTGCCACTTACTTGGCTGAGAAATCCTGAAAATTGTAATTAATGTTTATGAGCCTAATATTTATGATCTGAAAAGGGACCATGAATATGTTGCCATGGAGCTTCTATTGAGGAGGCCAAGGAAATCTAGTGAGTCTGCCCAACACTGAGCAAATGTTGGTTGCTGCTGGGCAAGTGTGGGTTTCCTTCTCACAGCATTCCTTCCCTACTATGGCAGGGATGCCGTGCCATGAACTCAGTGGCATAGCAATGATGTAGGCAGAATTCAAAAATGACACAGGAAGTACTATACATACACACGTGATGTCTTAAAGGATACTCACAACTATTTCTTTGTGGGAAGATCAGCTAATACCTGGTGGAGCTTGAGGGGGAAACCAGGCAGCCTGGGTGAGAGGCACTCGCTGGTTTATAATACCTCATCACTTTTGATTCTGGCAGCAAGACTGTGAGACAGGGATGGTGCTAATATGCAAATGTTCAGTAAGTGGATGTGGGTGTGTATGCTTGTTCGTGTTTGGGTATGAGGGTGTCCCTCTGTGGCTTATATACTCACTCTCCTGAGAGATTCCCAAACATAGACATGCTTGCAGTCACCTGTGTTTCAATTACCTCAATGAGGGAAGGCTCTGGCCCTCTTTAGGCACCAGAAATATTTAGTTGGTTGGTCTGGGCATTGCTGAAGCTGTTAGCTAGCTCACTTTTACACTTTTCCCTCAGTAATGCTCTTTCTGAAGTAATGTCAGCTCTTGAAAATGTATAGGGCTCTTTCCTCACACCATACACTGACATCCTGCCATTATTCCTCTCTTTAATATTTGATTTTTTTTTCCTTTCATGGATGGATTTTCATGATAATCAGTTGATTTCCTGGCATTCACCAAAAGTCACCAAAAAGGTCCCTCTTTGTTGTTGTTATACTTGTTTACCAGCATTATGAAGTCATGACTGTTTACCATGTTGATTGGCTTCAAAGCATTGTTATATGATTTTGAGCAGAGTGAAGTGATGGGACCTACACTCTGTCCAAGGCACCAACATGTATGTCTTGGATTATGCTGCCTTCCATCTGGTTCCTCTGTTTTCATCCTTGCCTCCTCGCCATCTGTCCTGGCCAGAGCAGTAGTAATGGAGGTGGTGATAAGTGGTTAGATCTGGATAGACTTTGGGGAAGAGGCCTAGAGTATTTCCTGATCACTGGGATGTGGCATGTGAGAGAAAGAGAGCACTCCAGGGGTCCTCCAAGTTTTGGCAACCGAGGGAGTGATATTTTTGGGTCAGATGCTCCAGCCATGTTCAATTTCACTTCTACTGAGAGTTCTCAAAGGCTGTGAGTTACAGGATTGCCTTGACAGTGGGCCACACACTGATGGCAATGGCACCTCAGAAGAATTCATCTGAGGCCTGGTTGTCTTCAGTACATCATGGAATGATCAGCAGTGAATGGAGTTTTACTCATAAGAGGCCCTGAGTCAACATAGAGTAATTAATGTACAAAATGTACAACACACAAACCCAGAGAACATTAAATGTGAGACCCCAAAGGAATGTGGTTTTAACAGTCTAATTCCTGTTATCTTCCTGTTCCCTCAAACCACCAGTAATGTCTGCTGGTATAATGTTTCATTTGAATGTGGTAAACATAGAATACCCTAAATGAATCCATGTATGAGAGAGAGAATGGAGACTACATAATTTCTGTAGATGGCAAGAAAAATGGCCAAATCCTTCCACATGGTAAAATACATACTTTGGCAGGAGCTTTTGGGAGTGGGGGGAAGAGATGGACAGCAACACAACTCCTAGGAGTGAATGTAGAGTACAGTATAGCAAAGGCACTTTATGAGTATACCTGTGGCTACAATCTCCAATAAAGTAGACAGTTTGCAAGAGACTTATTAAAGAGAGGCATACACACAGATAAAAGGACCAATCTGCCCTGGCTGGTTTGGCTCAGCAGTTAGAGCATCGGCCAATGGACCAGAGAGTCCAGAGTTCAGTTCCCACTGAGGGCAGGTACCTTGGTTGCAGTTGATCCCTGGTCCCAGTTGGGGTCATGTGGGTCGCAACCAGTCAGTGTGTCTCTCTCGCATCAATGTTTCTCTCTCTCTCTTCCTCCATCTCTCCCTCTCGCTCTATCTAAAGATAAAAGCAAAAATATTCTCAGGTGAGGATTAAAAAAAAAAAAAAAGACCAATCCACCAGGGAGACATGAGGGAACTAGGTTTGCATGCACCAAACAACGGAGCCAAAAGATAGACGAAGCAAAAACTGATGGAGCTGAAAGGAGAAATAGCCAAGTCCACAATAGAGTTGGGGCCTTCAAGACCCCCTCTCAGCAGGTGATAGAATTGCTAGAAAGAAAATCAGCACAGAGGAAATTAGATGAACGCAATAACCTAACAGGTTCTACATGACAAATAGTCCACCCAAAAGCAGCAGAATACAGTATTTTTCAATTGTCATTGTAACATTTACCAAAACAGGTCAAATCCTGTGCCATCAAACAAATCTCCACAAGTTTAAAAAGAAATGAAATCACACGGAGTACATTCTGTGATCATCGAGGAATCAAATTGGCAATCGATAGTTGGAATAGAAAAGAAAAATACCCAGTGATTTGGAAATTGTTTCTGAAACATCATTCTAGTTTGTCAGTCAGACCCTTGTTACATAAGAGCTGAGATTAGAAAGAGCTGTCTCCTGAACTCAAAGGCATTTCAGACTGGGCAAGAGAAAGCTCACTCTGGATACTTCAAATAGACTACTTTTTGGGGAAAGGTGGGACAGATGAAGAGGCTGTTACCTCTATTCCACTTGACATAAAGCTTGTACTACGCCAGGAAAGGAAGCACTTTGTTGCCCTACCATGTTAGCCTTAGATGTGCTACAAGGTAAGTGGACACAGATGCATCTCCAAACTTTTTTTTTTTTTCTTGTTTCATAAGACAGTGATGGTGGCAGCTCACCCCAAGGAAAAAAAGAAGGTTGGAATTCTTTCCGAGGTAACATTGGCAAGAGGACCCATCACTATCAGCATGGCGGATATGAGCTTCAACCTTCACACCCCCATAAGGATAATGGATACATGGGGATGAGGGGAGTCCAGAAGTACCAAGCAAGACAGTAAGTGACCAGGCAGCCTGGGTTGCATGTAGCAGCCCATGAGACTGTGCAACTCTTTTTCACTGTCCATGGTTTTCTTTTTCGTCTCTCACTGGAAAGCTGAATAATGCTAGAAATGAAATCATGGTTGAGCAATCCTAATTGTAGTCCTGGTGCCAGAGACACAAGAGTGTATAGACAGCTTTCTTATCATTTATGGCCACCCTTTTTCTCTCCACTTCCCCCTGCAGCACTCCCTATATCATCCAATGCAACAAAAGGCGAGTGAAATTGCATAATGAAGGCTGTGTTGGTATTACTGTGTGGAGAGGTAGAAAACCTCTGCAACGAAAAACAGAGAACCCACAAGATGAAATAACAAGGAGATGGTTCAAGATCACAGTGAGTGTCATGGCAAGGTCTGCACTAAATGGGATAACCTTGAACCTTATAAAAGGAAGCACACATTAAACATCCTACATTTATAATTTTGAGGAGAGCTTTTGAATGAAGAGAAAGAGCATTCAGGAAATCCATATTTAGCACAAAGATAAGAAATTGGGCCAGTGGTCCCTTTAGAAAACCTCTAAAGCTCAGGAGAAGGTAGGAACAGAACACTGTGTTGGGTCTAGTTCTCTGGACTAGTTCCCTGTTGTTTCTTTTCTCCGCGTCTCTTCTTTTGACCCTTAGATTCCCTATGGAAGAAAGTATGACAAGACTTGGCTGATAGATTCCATCCAGAGCCGTTGTAGTATCCCCTTCATTCCAGTGGAGGTAAGAGAAGATGGTGAAGCCTGATGAGGGGACACAGGGAAGAGAGAGAGACCTGGCTCAGATGGGGCCATTAGCCTCTGACAGGATTGCTGTTGCTTCAATCCTTGTAGTTTCACTATGCGCAAAACAGGGCCCAGTTCTTTGTCCAAGATGCTAGTGCTGCTTCTGCATTGAAGGATGTCAGCTATAAAATTTATGATGAGGAGAACAAAAAGGTGTGTGTCAAGGTCATTATCTCTACTCAATCCTTGGTCAGGAGGACAGGCAGGGCTTTGTCACCTTCCTTACCCCAACTCTTTTTCCTGCAGATACCTATCTTTGTCAGTACTTCTGTACCCTACTCTGTGCAGGATAAACTGAAGCCAGAAGAAATGGAGCAGCTAAAGGTAATGCAGACTCAAGGCACATATATGCCCTCTCTTAGATCCACCTGTTCCTCCTCCAGCTCCTGACCTCCCAGTCACCACTATAGCCTCAGAGATCTCTCTTCATCTCCTTCTGCAGCTGACCATGAACAAACGATACGATGTGTCCCACAAAGCTCTTGACCTCCAGAGTCTCCGCTATGACCCAGGTATGGCTGACAGCAATAATTATAGGGCAGGAGAGGGAAGAGGGTTCTGCCTGGGAGGTAGACTTACGGATGGTAATGAGGGAGGGGTTGGTGCTGTTCTCAAGCCCTTCTCAGTCTTGTGATTCCCTATTCTTGTCTTCTTGAAGGCTTTGCCCATCTTCATATTAATATAATCCTGAATCGGAGAAGCTGCATGGCTGCCACCCTGCAGATCATCGAAAAGAATTTCCCTGAGGTGAGGCCTTAGACCCAGTGCTGATGTTATGGTACGGGTGGAACAGATGGGATGGAAGGTGGATTTGTCTCTGAGGTCCTAGATCATAATCGTTACTCTAACTTCTCTTCCCTAAAGCTGTTGTCCTTGAACTTGCACAACAACAGACTGTACCAGCTGGATGGCCTGTCTGATATTATACAGATGGCCCCCACAATCAAGATCCTGAACCTCTCCAAAAACGAGGTGAGAAGAGGGACAGATCAAACCTGAGTTGATAGTAGATGGTGGTGGTTATCAGTGTGATCATGGCCGGCAGGCAAAGGTACTTGGAGAGGAGGGGAGCTATGGGTGCAGGGACTTGGATGCCCCTCTGTCCCTTGGACTATTTTTCAGTTTTCTCCCATATTTCTCAGCTGAAATCCACCTGGGAGTTGGACAAGATCAAAGGCCTGAAGCTTGAAGAGCTGTGGCTGGAAGATAACCCCTTGTGCCACACCTTCCCAGACCAATCCATGTACATCAGGTCAGTGTAAACCCGTCACCCTTCCTGGGGACCTTTGACTCCTGGGAGCCTGAACTACTCCTGACAGTGCCCGACCACAGCAGGTGGCAGCCCTGGTTCTCTGGGAGGATCATAGGCCCCACCTTCTCTTCTTTGTCCCTCGCCTGTCCTTAGAGGTCTCTGTCCTTCCTCTGACCTGTTCACCTGTTGTCATGGTCTGGGATCTGGTTCCCAACTCTGCATCTAGTTTTCTGTGCCATGTCCATCCAAGAATATGCTTCAGAGTGCAGGGCTCCCCCTGCCCTATCTCCAGGACTAGGGGTATTGAGCTTGGAGGAAGATACTGCTGATCTAGGCTGAGAAACATCCTCCAACACAGGCTTATGCTGATCTGCTTCTGAGATGATAGAGTATCCCCATCCTATGCTGGGAAGACCTTCTTTTCCTTTCTTCTAAAGGGTCTTCCCTTGAATCTCAAGTTGGTGTGGGACTTTCTAACACCATACCAAGGGCCCAGGCCCTGGGTGGCTGTCATCATGACTTCCGTTTTTTTGGTGCAACACCAGGGAGATGCCCTCCTTGGGAGAATCCAGGGTTCCCTGAGTTGGGGCAAGAAGTGAGCCACCACCAGTAAGCAGAGGGCCTCTTGAGGCAGCAGTGGAAGGCTGACGGCAGAGAGGGTGGAGCAGACAGAAAGACAGTCCTCTCAGGGACACTGACACTCTCTCCACACATCATATAACCTGCCTGGTCCTTTATAGGAGCCCTGGGTAGCCTGAAACAGGTAGGATTCCTTTGGCAAGGAACCAACTAAGACAGGCAAAGGTGCACAGAGACCATGAGGAGAGAAGGTGGTGATCATAAGAGGGGGCCACAGACCCCCAACGCCAAGCTCACCTGGGACATGATGCTTACTGCTTCTGAGGAAGGCCTCCTGATCCCGTGGCTGGTGTGTTTCCCATGCCTAGTTCAGATTAAGCTCCCACATGTGACAAAGGGTCAGCGAGAATCCCATGGCCCTGAGGCCTACATCTCCATGTTTTCCATTTGTACCTCAGATCCCAGGGACAGCCAGTGACAGATGATGGAAAGGGCTGCCATGTCCCCTTTCTTCTCTCCTCTTATCTGACCCCCACCCCCACCTCCAGGGCAGAGCTGCTTTCCCTTCTATTTTCTTTCTCTTTCTCCCTTGTCTCTACTGTTCTAGGTCTCCCCAATCTCCACTCCTGTCTTCATCTCCCTCCCTTTCCCTCTCTGCTTCTTAATGCCTCCCTTCCTCACCTCCTTCCCCAGGCTCCTGGTCTATCCCTGGGACATGTCCTTTTCCTGGCAGGATTCTGGGCCCCTACCCATTACCTCTTCTCTCTGGAGTGATCAGTGGAGGCCTGGAGAGAGGAAGGGAGGCAGGGAGGAGGAAGAAAACCTGGATTCTGGGATCTCAATGCTGTGTCTCCTGGCACTGGAGAAGAAGTCACTGGTCTAGAAGGAACTATCCCAGAGGAAGGAGAGGGAGAGATAGGGGGAGGTAGAGAAAAGGTGAGGGAAGCAGGAAGGGAGGGATGAATATGAATGTGAAGGTGTGGAGAGAGATGAGCAGACTGTGTGTTTCAGAGATCCCATATGGCAGATGGTCAGTGCTGGGCATGGAAGTGGACCTAGAAGCCTTGAAATCAGAGGCTGAGGGGCTCCTGGGTGGGCAGAACACTATCTCTGTTCAGACCATCAGTGTTTTAAGTAAATGGGAGCATTGCAACCCATGCTATCAACCACTTCTTTCTATTTTTGGATTCGGACAGCGCCATCAGGAAATGTTTCCCCAAGTTGTTACGTTTGGTAAGTGTCTTCATTCCTCATCTTCTCTTGCTAACTTGACAACCTCTACAACTGCTCCCAATCCCTTTTAGTCTTGTCTAGATTGCATGTTAACATTAGACCCTTATGCATTTTGGGGGACATGGATTTCTGGAAAAGGCATGAATATGAATAATCTCTGGGAAAATGTAGAGAGAGAGAGAGGAAGAGAGCACAAGGAGAGAGAGAGAAAAACACAAACACATGCAGACACACATACATACAAGGTGCATAATGAAACAGTAGAGACTTCCAGGACCTCATGATGCAAATGCCCCATAAAATCTTGCCCATGGAATTTCCAGGGCTCTTTCACTTCTGACCTCACTGTCTCCTATGCCCATTCTTTCCCCTAGTCATCCAGGACCACCTCCCTGGTCTGCATGGCTAACTTACCTTCCCTTCTCCAGGATGGCCAGGATTTACCCCCACCAACTACTGTTAACATTGACAGACCCTACATAAGCAAGCCCTTGAAGGTGAGGAAGAAAGACCAATATTTGGGCTATGGAGGCTTTATCAGCCACGTGGTCTCAAATGTCTTTGATTCCAGGAAAGCTGTAATGGATCTGATGTTCTGAAGACTCAAGTCCTGCAATTCTTACAGCAGTGAGTACTCCGGAGACCATGAGGAATGGGGAGGAGGGCAGGGATAGTCTTGGCCATCCAACCACATGTCTGGTCCTGAGAGTTTTCATGTCCCCTTTGAGGTCCATTCCATAGAGTTAAACTGTCTTCATTGTCCCCTCACAGATATTACTTGATCTATGACTCTGGAGACAGACAGCGTCTCCTTGGTGCTTATCACGATGAAGCCTGCTTCTCCCTGACCATTCCCTTCATCTGGGACAACCCAGCCATGTGAGTATCACAGCTTAGACTCTGATTCTGGGGCTTCTGTCTCCCCAGCAGAAACTGGCCAGGTCATGGAAACACCCACACTGGCCGGACCACAACATTCTGTTTTTCCCTTTTCTCCTAGAAGCAGCTTGTTTGAGTACTTCAAGGATAACATAAATATGGAGATCCTCAAGGACCCCAGTGCGTGTGGGATGGAGAAGATTGGGCCAGGAAAGGTGTGAATGGGTCAGTCATAGATCTCAGGAAGAGGCAACCCTGACCTTTGCTGTCCTCCCCCCACAGACCTGCATTTTCAGCTGCTGAAATATACAAAACATGACATCGTGAGCTCCCTCTGTGCATTGCCGAAAACTCATCATGACCTCAGCTCCTTCCTGGTGGACGTTTGGTTCCAGTCGGTGAGCACCTGCTTCCTCCCTCAGGCAGGGCCAGAAAGAGGCAGATATGGGGGAGGTGTAGGTGGAAGCTGAGCAGCTGCGCTCTTCCTTGCAGGAAAGGATTCTCTGCTTTTGTGTCAGTGGGGTGTTCAGGGAAGGTAAGTGCATGTAGAGTCCCCTCCCCACATGCCCCATATCTCCCTTCCCCTGGCTGGGCTCCCTCTCAAAACTCTCTGTTTATCTGATCCCTTCCCTTTCTTATTATTTTCTCTGTGTTCTCCTGCCTCCAGTCTGCCCCCAAACCCTCCTGGTCAGACCATCATCCATGCCTGTAAGCCCCAGACAGCTGGGACTTTGGGGGTACAGGTATAGGGTGTGATACCTGTCATCCCAGATCCTTACTGTGCAAACTTGGGCCCATTATTCAACTTCTCGTTTTTCTTATTTATAAAATGGGGATAATAATACCCACCTATTGGGTAGATGCAAAAATCAATCAAATGAAATGAAGTAGTTGTCCCAGGGCCTGGCACATAGTAAGGCCCACATCAGTGGGAGCAGATTGCTCCTCTTTTGACCTCCCCATGCCCAACACCCTCACTCCCAGTGAACAATTATCCCCTTGGCATGAGTAGCAACACCCACCCTGACTGGGGAATGCCGTGTGAATGAGTGAAGCATGTGGGACTTCAAGGGGGTATTGTTGTTTGTTGTTGAAGTGGATGGAAGGTCTCAGGGTACTCTTCGTGCTTTCACTCGGACCTTCATCGTTACTCCTGCCAGCAATTCCAGGTGAGTGCTATGCCCTGGGAGGGAACATGCAGCCCAGCCTGTGCTCAGGCCTGTGAGAATGTGCCAGTGCATGTCCTCGGCGTTTTCTCGGTATTGTGGGAAGCCAACAGGTAGATCCAAGGACAGGACTGCATAGGGGTTTAGAGCATGGGTCTGGAGTTAGACTACTCATAGTGTTCCAGGTTTCTTTTATGTCCTCTGTGTGACCCCCAACACTCAACTAACTTGATACCTGAAATCACATGACCTTAGGGACACTATGTCTTCCTCTGAAAATGGGATTAGACTGTCCTCTCCCTTGGGCTGTTTAACAGAGTAAATGCAATGGGGTCAGAGGTGGAAATCTAATGAAACTGGTATATTGTCTCCAAGGGTGGTGTCTGTGAGAAGGGCATAGCTACCAGGCATGGAATCTGGGACAGGTACAGGTGGGGTATAGGAGAAATCTGGTTGCTGAGTGGCTATGGAAGTAAAATCATTGTTGGAGTGTATTGTTGTCTACCCATCAGTTGTCTGAAGGATCATTTTTCTCTAGTATATTCATCGTGAATGATGAGCTGTTTGTGAGGGACGCCACACCCAGTGAGATTCAGAAGTCATTCTCCATCCCAGTGCCCACCCTCTCTCAGGAGCAGCAGGAAATGGTGCAGGTTTTCTCCACCCAGTCTGGCATGAAACCACAGTGGTCTCAGAAGTGAGTATTGGGTGTGTTTTGAGGGTGAGAGGTAGTTCAGGGATCGTGGGGCTGAATAATGTGAACACATAAGCAATTTAGAAAAATAAGCACTGTGATGTTTTGCTTTAAAAAATAGTAGGCTTATGAAGAAAGTATCCTAATTTTATGATGATATATGTAAAGATTTTTAAAAATAGTGTAATGCTCAGGTGTCATGATCTTGTATATGGAAAATCCTAATGAAGCCACTAAGAAACTATTAGAATACATAAACAAGTTTAGCACTGTTTCAGGATACAAGATCAATATACAAAAATTATTTTTATTTATATGTACTGCAATCAACAATCTTAAAATGAAATTAACAAAATTATTTTATAGTAGAATCAAAAATAAGACTAAGGTAGTGAAAAATTTATACTTTAAAGTCTTCAGAATATTTTTGGAATGAATTGAATAAAATCTAAAAATGGAATGACATGCTATATTTATTATTTGCAAAACTTAATATGGTTAAGATGGTAATGCTATTCGAACTGTTCCACAAACCCAACATCATTCCTGTCAAAATTTTAGCTGGCTCCTTTCAAGAAATTGATAATGTGGTCCTAAAATTCACATAGAAGTATAGTGGACTTAGAATACTAAAAACAATATTGAAAGGGAAATGTAAGGTTGGGGGGTGGTCATAATTCTCAGTCCCTAGAATCTCAAGGCTTACTACAAAGTTACTGTAATCAAGACTATATTGGTATTATCATTTGGGTGGATATACAGGTTAATGCAATAGAATTGAGAGTCCAGAAATATACTGTGACATTTATAGTCGATTGATTTTCAACTAGGTGCCAAAATTTTTTATTTGAGAAAAATAGTGTTTTCAACAAATTGATCTGGGACACATGCAAAAAAATGAATTTTGACTATTACCAAACACAATATACAAATATTACTCAAAATGGATCAAAAAGCTAAATGTAAGATCTACAGCTATGAAAACTTGAGAAAACATAGGTATATATCTCCATCACCTTGAATTAGGCAATCGTCTCATATATGACACCAAAGTACAAGCAACTAAAGGAACAAATTGCACTTCATCAAAATTAAAATATTTGTGCATTCAAAGGACTCTATCAAGAATGTGAAACTACAACCCTCAGAATGGCAGAAAATATTTGCAAATCTCATGTCTGATAAGATACACTTTCCAGAATATCTGAAGACACTAACTCAACAATAAAAGGACAAACCAATTTGAAAATGAAGAAATTATTTGAATAGACATTTCTCTATAGATGATATACAAATAACCAAAAATTACATGAAAATATGCTCAACATCATTAGTCATTAGGGAAATTCAAATCAAATAAGGAGGAGATACCACTTCATACACACTAAGATGGCTTTTGAGTGAAATGGAAGTTAAGTGTAGATGAGGAAGTGGAAATATTAGAACTTTCATATATTAATGGTACAAGTGTAAAGTGGAGATTTCACTGTGGAAAACTTTTTGGAAGTTCCTCAAAATGTTAAACATGGAGTTACCATGTGACCTAGTAATCTCCTAAGTATATAAAAACTTGTATTTTCTGTTTATATCTGTTATTTTCTTGAACATCTTTATCAACATATATTAAACTCTCATGTTCTTTTGCACATTTCTATTTTTCTGTTTTGAATTCTAGTGGGCATGAATGCTAGTGTCAGATGTTTTGATTTTCACTGGGTCTTTATTCCTCATTACACATAGTTCTTATTCTGGTACATGTATCTCAGCATGGATTTCGTGATGGCATTGCATGGTCAGTGTGTCTGTACTATAGTACTAATGGAGACCACCTGTTCTTTTCCCACTCCAGGTGCCTTCAGGACAATGAGTGGAACTACACCAGAGCTGCTCAGGTCTTCACTATGCTCAAGGTGAGGTCTGGGTATCACTGGGCCTTTGAGAAGGCCAAGGTGGTGGAATCTGGTGCCCTGGAATAAAACTCAGAAAGCTGGCTCTTCTGATACCCCTTCTCCTGTCCAGATCGAGGGCAAGATCCCAGAGGAGGCCTTCAAACAAATCCCTTAAAAAGAGCCCTTGGATGCCATCTTTGTCTTCATGCCCATCATTTTGGTTTCTCTTTCTCCAGCCTAAGGCCATACCCATGACTGGGGCTGGAGGCCTGGCTGACCAAGAAGCCAAAATTACCTTATAGGTCAGGTAACTTAACCACCTGAAGTGTCATTTGTTCTGTTTATTTTCCCCATTCACGATCACTACTGTTGTTGTTGTTTTTGTTTTTTCATAATAAAGAGTGATGTTACACACTGTATATTGTGTGCCTTGGATCACTTTTCCCCTGCCCAACCGTGAGCCAATTGGTTCAGGACTGAAAGGCCCTGCCTTCTTCATATCTAACTCCCCCATTCACTCTGGCAGTCTCTAGCAGATACATTCAGGCTTGACTTCATAGGTAGTTGTCAATACATTCTGATGAGAATGGAAACACGGTGCTTCCAGAGATTGGCCTTTGGAGACAGTGTGACTTAGTCAGATGCACTACCTGGAGGCCTGAAGAAACAGGCATGGGACCTGGAACAAAGGGGTTTTGCCAGGGATGCCCACTGCATAGTGAGGGCTGTGGAAGGAAAGAAGAGAGGACTTATATATTTTACTTCTTCCGAATCATCATCTGAATTTTTTCAAAGATCATACGGTGAACAAGTTTACAGTATGCACACAGGTGAATGAGAAATGTTTGTTTATTTTTTCACACGTTTCACCATGTTTGTGTTTGTCTTTCCATCCACTGTAGAGCTTCCTTCCCCTTTTTGAAGGTGCATTGGGGGTTGGATCTCACTTCAGCACCTGAGAGTAAGGGAGAATCAGTCTGTCTTCCCAGTGCATTTCTCAGAGAGCTGACACTGGATGCTCTATCTCCACATGCTTGGGGTTCAGCCATTTGTTTCCACTTCCAAACAAACAAAAATAACATGGAATCTTACATTATGGTCAGTCCTGTGGGACCTTTTTGGTCTGACTTATTTCACTTAACATGATAGTTTCAAGATCCATTCATGCTGTTGCAAATGGCAGTATTTCATCTTTTCTTGTGGCCAAATTGTATATATGTACCACATATTCTTTATGCAGTCATCTAGTGAAGGATACTTTGGTTGTTTCCATGTTTTTCCCACCATGAATAATGCTTCAGTGAACATAAGGGTGCATCTATCTTTGCAAATAAATGTTTTCAAATATTTCTGGTAGATACCCAAAAGAGAGGTTGCTGGACCAAATGATAACTATTCTTAAATTTTTAAGGAACTTACATACTGATTTCTGTAGTGACTACACCAGTTTACAGTTCCACCCGCAGTGAATAAGGGTTCCTATTTCTCCACAACTTCTTAACAAATTTAAGAAGACTGAAATCATACCAAGCATGTTCTCTGACTACATTGCTATGAAAGTATAAATCACTAGCAAAATGAAGTGGAAAAAACACACAAATATGTGAAAATTAAACAACATGCTACTAAAAAACTACTGGGTCAAAGAAGAGATCAATAGACACACATAAATGAGAATGACAGTAAGACATATTAAAACTTTTGGGATACAGCAAAAGCAGTAATAAAGGGAAAGTTTATATTATTACTGGTCTATCTCAAGGTACAAGAAAAATCCCAAGTAAACAACCTAACATTACATCTTTTTATAATTTTTTATTATTACAGCTGTCCCCCCTTTTTCCCACTTCGACACACTCCTCCCTACTCCCACCACCCCACCTTCACCATACTGATATCAGTGTTCATTGGTTATGCATATAATTTATTTAGTTTATCTCTTGCTGCTTCCTCACCTCTTTCCATCAGAGGTTTGTCAGTCTATTCTTACTTCCATGTCTCTGAATCTATTTCGTTCATCAGAAAGAAAATAGGCCAATCTGTGATGGACACAGATGCCAAAATCCTCAACAAAATCATAGCAAACTGGATCCAGCAATATATTGAAAAAATTATACATCATGACCAAGTGGGGCTTACCACTGGGATGCAAGGCTGGTACAATATTTGAAAATCAATAAATGTGACACAGCACATAAAATGAAAGATAAAAATTACATGACCATAACAATAGATGCTGAAAAGGCATTTGACAAAGTCCAGCACCCATTTTTGATAAAAACTCAGCAAAGTGGGAATAGAAGGATCATACCTCAACACAATAAAGGCCATATATGACAGCCTACAAAGAACAGCATACTCAATGGGCAAAAACTAAAATAAGTCCTCTGAAGAACAGGAAAAGACAGGGACGTCAGCTTTTACAACTCTTAATTAACATAATACTGGAAATCTCAGCCACAGCAATCAGACAAGAAGGAAAAATAAAAGACATTCAAACTGGAAAGGAGGGGTGAAACTGTCATTATTCACAGATGGCAAGATATTATACATAGAAAGCCCTAAGGACTCAAATTAAAAAAAAAAAAAAATAGATTTAATAAATGAGTTTGGCTAAGTAGTAGGATACAAAATCAACATCCAGAAATCATTGGCATTTATTTTATTTTCTTTATTGATTTTAGAGAGATAAAGAGAGAGGGAGAGAGAAATATCAATGAGAACATCTATTGGTTGCCTTCCTGCATGTCCCCCACTGGGGATCAGGCCAAGAACCAGGGCATGTGCCCTGACTGGGAATCAAACCAGCCACCTCTTGGTGCATAGGTTGACACTCAACCACTGAGCCACACCAGCTGGGCATCCATTGACATTTGTATACATCAATAATGAACACACAGAAATAGAAATTTAAAAAACAATCCTATTTGCCATTGTAACAACAACAACAAAATTCAGATACCTCGGAATAAACTTAACCAAGGAGATAAAATACCTCTTCTCAGCAAACTACAGGACACTGAAAGAGGAAGATATAAAAAAAGTGAAAGCATATACCATGTTCATGGATTGGAAGAATAAACATCAATAAAATGTCCATACTACTCAAAGTAATCTATAAATTCAAAGCAATTTTATTTAAAATATCAATGGCGTACTTCTGAGATCTAGAAGAAATACTCAAAAAGTTTATATGGAACCAAACAAGATCCTGAATAGCCACATCAATTTTGAAAAAGAAAAACAAAGTTGGAGGGATCACAATACTGGATATCAGGTTATACTCCAAAGCCATTGTGATCAAAACAGTCTGGTACTTGCACAAAAACAGTAATATAGAGATGGCAGCAGGCAGGATCTGAGAGAGGGTGAGGGTGTGAGAGAGTGTGTGAGTGTGTGAGAGAGTGTGAGTGGTAGCGAAGGTGGACGACCAAATCCCTGCAGTGCAGAGACACTGAGCAGAAGGTTCCTGTGCTGTGGACAGAGCAGCCGGCTACCACCATAAGCAACACTTCAGGGCACTTCTTCCTGCACCACGGGGAAGTCCTACCATTTTTGAAGATCCCGAGTCTTCCCTGGGAGGAGGCAGTGGGAGCGGCTAGGGCCCAGCAACATGAACCCACCAGCACACCTGGCACCATCAGACCAGTGGACACTCTGTGTCAACACAGACCTGTGCACAGTAGTGGAGCTCCCAAGGCGCTGGTCGCAGAAGCCACAGACAGCCAGGAGCCCAGCACCATCCCCCATAGTAGCAGCCCAATCAGAGTCCAGATATACCCCCAGCAACAGAGGCTGGGGAGCAGAAATCCATCACCAGGCAACAGAAACACAGACCAGCAAATGAGACCCATCCCCAAAATCTACAGCAATAGCTGAGCAGGACTTGAGCCCCATGGGGCAGCAGCACTCCCCAACCGCCAACAGCAGGACCTGGAGATCCACAAAGGCCTGTGTAGTCCCATAGCTCACAAGTGCAGTGGGAAGCCTGAGCACAAGAAAAACTGGTGCGATTCAGCTGCCCACCCACTGGAACTGCAGGGTGAGGGGGCACCAGAGAGGCCTTTGCCATCCAACAGGGACTGTGCAATCCAGTTACTCGCAAGTCCTGCAGGGTGCTGAAGCACCATGAAGGCTTGTGCCACACACCAGGGACTGTGCTATCCAATAACCCGCAGGAACTGAGGGGTGCTGAAGCACCAGAGAGGCCTGTGCAACCCAGCAGGGATTGCATGATCTAGTTACCCACTGGGCCTGTGGAGTGCTGAAGTACCAGAGAGGCCTGTGCAACCCAGCAGCCCATAACATAGGCACAAAGCCGGGTCCCCAGAGGGATGATGCAATCCAGTTACCCTTGGGACTTGCAGGGTGCAGGGGCACCAGAAAGGCCTGTGCAACCTAGCTGCACACAAGATAGGCTTAGAGGATGTGAAAAAAGAGGCGGAGTGAATAGAAGCCACACAGACTATCTCCCAGGACCAAATGGGAATTGCAACTATAATAAAGACAAATCCTCAAAAAAAAAAAAAAAAGAAAAAACTAAATAAATAAAATAAAAGCAACAGAAAACCAGCAGGACAATACCATATAGCCAGGGATTCTGGTAGGATCTGTGGAGGTGCGAGAGAGTGGTGGGCTGTGAGCCCACTGACAGCAGCAGTCTTAGCTGTGAGCAGAGCCCTTGGGGAATAAAGACCAAGCCCACTCCACAGCCCAGAGAGCCAGGACAGACCACTAAAATAGCAACAGCCACTCACCTGGGGCTACTGCAGAGGGAGGGCAGACTGGGCTAGAACTCTGTGGGGCCACCCGAGATTTGGAGAGCACTCAGAGTTTTTGCTGAGTTGTGGCCACAAAGGGCTGTGAACAACGTGCCCCTTCCCAGAGCTGTGGGGAAAAGCAGCAGCACGCCCCATTGGAGATTCAGCCTTTCCCAGGTGAGGCAAAGAATGAAAAATTGAGGCTCATTAATAACCAGCATCGATCCCACACTCTGGAAATCCTTTTAGGCAGAACACCAGGGCTACATTCCAAGGCACTGAGTAACTGAGACTACTAGCCACCAGGAAAAAGCTAGAGAATAACTGAACCTTTCCTGGGCTTGCATATCTACCCAGGTGCCATGTCCTCTTCTAACCATGTCGTCTGACAAGGTCTGGACACGGAGAGGAAAGT